ATTACATTGTGGGAGAAAGAAATAGAACGAATGACTTAAAGGGCTCAGGGGAGTGTAGACAGAGAGAAGGTTGGGGAGTAGCAAAGTGTCTTGTGCTAAGAGCTTTAGCCTTGAGGTTAGAGAGCCTGGGCTTTGTCTAGAAACAATGGCATATGCTTGCTCTGAGCTTAGAAGGGACCCGTGAAGAGATAATTTGGATGAGCAAATACCTAGCAGCAGGCAGATCAAGTTCTCTTTGGCAACAGTCAGGCAAGAAAGTAGGAAGAAAGGCAGAATTGTGGCAGTGAAAAAGGAACAAGCCCTCCGGCTTACAGTGTAAGCAGACAGAGCAACAGGGGGCAGGATACAGGAGCTGGGGCGGCATCAATCTACAGTGCTTGCATCTGACCTGAATACACCTTTCACTATGTCTTTTTAAGTCCTTTATTTTATTGGCTTCTTTATTAAAGCTTGTACTTTATGCTGAAGGATTTAGTAGTCTCTTTTACTTGTCCCTTATACCTTCCAAGAAGATTACCTATTAATCCAAATGCCATTCATTTCCATTATAAAAATAGCCTTCCTGTATAAGAGAATCCTTGCTGCAGCTACCAGAGCATTTTCAATGAAGCCTGAGAAGGAAATGATTCTCCGAACCGTGTATTCCATGTTTTTTGTATGAGTCTTTACCGTGTTTTATGTTAATGGGATTTAGCATCAGGAGTGATGGCTATCATTGAGATGGAGAAGTCACCATAATAAATATTGAACACCCTACCTCATTTGCGTCTGCCTTCAATAAGTACTAAGCAAGTAAGAGTGGTGGGCACCGAGGAAACATGCATCAGAATCAATCGTTGGTCCATTTATATTCTGCCTGGGATAGTAGATGCATAAGTAACATAAATATGAAATAAGATGTGTGCTGTACGACAAAGAGGAACAAAAATTGCCAGGGACTTAGTGAGCCGTTGCTTCTAGTGATGCAGTCATGGCGGCTTGATGAAATGTGGGCCATCTGGAGGCGAGGCTCAGTTCAGGTGGAGGAGATTTCCCAGATGTGAGGAGCTGAGGAGATAGGCAGAGCAAGTGATCAGAGTGACCAGAACACAAGCTAAGTAGGACTGAACTTGAGAGGGAGGAGCTCTCAGTTCCCTGGGGACCAGAGGATAATGACCTGCAAAGCAAAGGGCACTGGGAGCCAGTGTGGCAATGTATCTGTGAGTATTAAAGTGATTAATCATGGCAGCGGAAGATACAGCAGATTAGATTGGAGAGAGTTGGGAAACCATTTAGCCGAGTATTAGTAGCCTAGGGCAGGAGCGAGAAGCAGCCCCACAAGAGTGGATGCAAAGGGATAAAAATGAAAGGGCCTCTGCAAGAAGTCTTAGAGAAGGATTTCAAGGCACCCAGTTTCCCCTGGAGCAAAAGGAAGTGGCACAGGTAGCTTGTTTTCTTCTCCAAACACGATTTTAAAATCTACCATATTGTTCCATCAATGAAGGGCAGTTCTTCGAATGCTTTCAAATTTACAGATTCATTCTCTTATAGTTTTTAAAACTAGTTTTCTAAAACTTTAAAGTAAAATGATTGGTGAAAAAGAAGCACATGTACAAGGTAGCATTCCAAATAGTACCTAGCATTGTAAGAAATCAAAATTCTGGGCTCGTTAGATGACTCTCTGGGTAAAGCACATGGCATACAAACATGAGGACCTGACCTCTGATTCCTCAGGACACATGTGGAAGGCCCAGTTGTGGCACAGTACACCTGTCATCCCAACTCTGAGAGGAAGAGACAGAGAGATCCCAGTGGCTCACTGGTAGCCAGTCCAGCTGAAATGATTCCCAGCATTCAAATGTTTTTTTTTCTATAAATATCCAAAGACATCTCTACATATTCTCTTCTGTCCTTTGCAAGGGGTCCCATTTGACTTTTGGCTAACTTTCTTCCTTGTTTCCATAATGTTTTCTCTAATCCATGGTTTCCCATCCTCTAGTCACTGCTGACATTTAAGATCTGCTCATTAGTCATTGTAGATGTTCAGAGGCATAACTGGCCTCTCACTGGAGACTAGAATCATTTCCCATTGTGATATACAAAGTCTTGAGCTATTGCTGACTCTTCCCTGTGGTGGGGATGGAAAGGACACGTGACCTTCTTGAGAACCACTGTTAGTTAGTAGTTCTTTCAGTCTTTATTATATTAAATTAGGCTGCTATGTCTTTCTCCCCATAAGCCCTCTATGCTTTGGGGTTGGAGATATTGCTGATTGGTTCAAAGCAATAGCGGCTCTAGCAAAGTACCCAGATTTGAATCCTAGCAGTCACAACGAACAACTTTCTCCAGCTCTAGTTTCAGAAGATCTGCCACCTTCTTCTGGCTTTGGTGGGCACAGCACACATGTGGTACAGAAATATACTTTCAGGCTAACTGCCCTTAGATAGAAAAATAAATAAATAAAACTTAAGATTTCTTAAATTTATAACATACTTTTCTCATACATTTGCTCCACTAGCAGCTGTTTTATGAAAATAATAGACATGGTACGAAATGTCATTCACATTATATATCATTAACACCCACATAAACCTTGACAAAGTAGAAGGTATAACTAATTGCATGGGAATATTTTTACTGAGTCCCTGTGAGGGTCACTAAGAATTATAGAATCTGTAATTATCAAAGTTATGTGTTATTTGAAGAGGTGAACAATTAGCCATCTAAAAATGGATTTGAACCATGAAAGACAGAGCATATGGTGCTCAAATAAACAAGGCAGAGACACCACACTGATATCAGAAGAAGAAGCAAACAAATGAGTGGTTCATAAATTAATGAAGGAGAGAGGGAATAGCAAGGGAGCCAGGGGTGGGGTGGTAAAGAGGGAGGAGATAGGAGGATTAGTTGGGGCTGCTGGCATGCTAGAGCTACCACTGTTTAATCAAGCAACCAATTTAACAGTCGAAGGATTCTCACTGCAAATTGTAAGGAGTTTGCTTCAGATTCATTCAAGCAATCCGAAGCCTAAACAGGGTGGTCTTAAGATGGCGAGTGCCAGCCTTGTAACTGCCTTCCCAAGAACTATAGATGCAAAATTGACCCAAAGAGCCCCATTCCCTTCCTCCTGAAACCTCTTTTAGTCTCTGGCAAACATTTCCTTTGCATCAACTCTTTCTAATAGGTTTGATCATAACTAGACCCTTTGCCTACAGACTACTAAAAACTCTCTGGAAGATTTTAGTCTTATTCCAAATCTCCAAGCAATCCGATTCATAGCAAACATTATGATTTGCAGTGTCTGTAGTGATAAAAACAATGAAATATTACTTTATGGACCCAGATATGTCTAAAATTATAAGTCACACTGACCACAGGGATTGACTTGCCCTAGCAGAGCTAACCCCTCAGGACCGAGTGACAGCAGGTGTTATATTTGGGTAAAATATCTGCCTGGATGCTTGGCAGACAGTGAGGAATCATGGAAAAGAAAGTAGAATGTAATTATCCAGTGGGAACTCAGCCAGTAGAGTAAGATCAATGTTCTAAAAATTTATAAGGAAGACAGCATTAGAATTTTATACTATGCTTCAGCTATGAATATATTTCTGACTCAGGTAATCTTCAGATGATCTTCCAAATCTCCACTAGTCAGGTTTTCCTGACTATGTCAATGAGGTGCTTGCAGCTCTAAGAACTTGGACTTGAGCCCTGAAGACATTTACTAGAAGAAAACACATATCTCTTGCATAGACAGGGTCATCTATACAGTAGGCTCTTAGATAATATCTGTTAGTGCTTAGGGCATTAAGCTCCCTGAATGAGGAGCAGAAGTTACAGTATCAGATATATCAGAAATATATCATTGTCAGCTCATTGCTAGAATCTGAGTAATGCTTAAAAACTGCCCTCACTGTCCACTGTCCTCATTCTGGGAGGATAAGTGCTAGGATTTCTTGAACCCTTTCTCTCTCTCTCTCTCTCTCTCTCTCTCTCTTCCTCTTCCTCTTCCTCCTCCTCCTACTCCATGTACTCCTTCCTTCCTCCTATCTCTTCCTCCCCAAAGGTAAATGTACACAAGAATATGCACACACACACACACACACGTGTACACATGTGAGCAATTTCATAAGTGGGGAATATATTTCCAAAATTCAGCAAAGGCATAGAAGTGGTGATTTCTTTCACCCAGGTGACTGATTCAGGAGAGGAAAACTAAATTCTTTCTTTAACAAAGGAACTGATGTGGAAGGTCCCACCACCATGTGCTCTAGTTCAAGTATATTGTCTATAAAGAGGTCTTGCAAGTTTAGTTTCTTTTATTTTAATATGTATTTGTCTTCTCATCCAAAACAGATTCTATTTTTTATTGTTCAAAACAATAGAAAATCATGATTATAAAAGGTTATTCATTAGACTTAAGCTTAAATGGTAAATACCTTATGGTAATCTCTTAAAACTAGACCCAAAATTATTTAAAGATCATAAATGCCTTAATGCTACTCACATTTTAGGCTTCCTCTTCCAATAATTCAACTTGTTATTTTTAAATTTCTGTATGCTTTAAAGTTACTTTTAAAAGGCATTATTTTTACTGAAGACTTAGGAAAAGTTTTACAATAACGCACTAGGTAATTTTATCGGTTTAAGATAACCTTTGGCCTGTTTCTTACAGCAGAAGGCATTCATTCATTTTTTTCTATATGACTAATTCTGGTGAGATGTATTTAAATATTCACTTAACATATTCATTGGTTGTCTATTTCACAAGGTATTGTATCAAGCATTATAGAAAATGTGAAGGCATACAAAAATGTGTTCGGGAAAGAATCTACTAAGAAGGCCCACATCTAGCTATGGCTACATCTATAGTTTAATTTGTTTACGTGAACTTATCTTTTGTTTCATTTCTTTGGTAAGTGATGACTACATATAAGAAATCCATGAGACATGATGGACATAGGATCACTATTTTAAAGAGCTTTATATGAATAATATTTTAATTGATAATTATTTCTTACCTGACATGGCAGTTAAATTTGCATCTTTGATGAAAATTTCAGTGACTCCAAGGGCTTTAAAGATGTCTTTTAAATCAATTCCCTGATCCACTGTGAACCTGGAGAACACACAGGAAGAACGTATCAACAACTTCTTTCCTGGAACAAGGATATAGTGCTCAGTACGTTGATGACAAAAGTGTTTTTTATACTGGGTAAATTATGCCAAGACTGACTGCTGATGGAAAGAAGTGTGTGACTGTATTTATGCAAATATGGGAGAAGAAAAACTGGAGAAGACTAATTTTTCCTTCCAAGTGGGTACCAATTACAGATAGCTTCTTGGTTAGGTGTGGGAACCTATGTCTATTGTATGAACTCTGGGACCTCATTTGGCTTGAACTTGTGTAGGTCATTGTCAACAAAAAGGAATTTTAATTTGATGGCATTTCTGTAGACTTTTTGTCTTATATTTACTGCTTTGTTTGGAAGTAGGTGTGTTTTGTCTTGTTGGTTTTTAGCTTCCATATTTTGATTTCTGTGCTTTCTGTTTGTGGGGGGTGAGTGTGATTGTGTAAATATTATGAGAAAGAGAGGAGAGATATTCTTCCTTTGAGGTTTGATTTTTAGAGATAATCTGTATGGAGTTGTGTGGATAGAAGAATAAGGAGAATCTAAGACGAATTCATGGAGGGGAAAGCATAATCAGAAGATGGTGCATTAAAAAAGTTTTTTTTCCAATAAAAAAGAGGATGGATCAAAGTGAATGAACCAACACAATAGGATTTAAATCCATTAGCAGAAAAGCATTTGCTATGGGTACACAAATACAATGCATGAGAGTAAAATGGAACTTTGAGGTTAGGTGTTATTAAACATTATGTGAATCATGTCAATGGGGACCAGTGAGATTGCTCAGTGGATAAAGGCACTTTCCACCAAGCCTGGTAACCTTAATCTGATCCCTATAACCAACACAGTAAAAGGAAAATGTGACCCCAGCAAGTTGTCCTCTGATCTTCACACATTTGTACACACACACACACAAATAATAACATATAGAAACATTTTTAAAAATCCATAAATGAATAATTTTCAAAATATTTTGGTAGATTAAGTAATATTCATGATTTTTCAAGCTGAAAATGATTAACTGTAAATTTACTTTCAAATTTACTCAGGGTCTTCCTTTCTTTTTTTCTCTCTTCTTATTTTTTTGTTTTATTTATTTATTTTTTAGTATCTGGTCAACTGATACATCTACTCAATCTCCCACCCAAAATGGACAGGGATAACCAAGTGGCAAATTTGACTTTACAATTAATACAATACACATTTTAACTCCATAAAACCTCTTACATTAAAAATAAATCATCACTGTGGTTATATTAAACTCTGGCACATAAACAAACATGCTTTCATGAGATCATCACAAAAAATTACTTATCAATGAAAATGAGGTAATTATACCTTTAATACTGTGAGCATTTATAATTACAGGGTGTTTTGGAAAACAATCATGACTTTACTTTTAAAAATTTTGAATTATTATGTACAAAATGTATCAACTTTCTAAGAAAATTAAACATTAATTATCATATCCACAAATGGAATCTTAACTTCATATAAATGGTTTCTGTGATAAAGCATATTAGTTAATATGTAATCTCTTGTTAAACCAATGAGTCATATTGTTAGTCATTCTAGGAAGAGATATTGAACAAACATGTCTGCTGTGGATAATGCTCTTGTACCCTGTAAAGATTTGTCACTCATATTGGTTGAATAAAACGCTGATTGGCCAGTAGCCAGACAGGAAGTATAAGCAAGGCAAACAGACTATGAGAATTCTGAAACAAGGAAAGGCAGAGAAACAGTCACCAGCCAGACACAGAGGAAGCAAGGTGAGAATGTTTCACTGTGTAAGGTACTGGGCAGGACAGAAATTTCTATCTACACATGCCTTCATCTTTTTAATTTAATAAAGAAAAATGTGTTTAATACTTTAAAAAAAAGACAAAATGTATCAGAAAGAAATTTTTTCCTTTTTCTGATGCTGCCTTTTGCTGAGTACAAATTCTGCATGTGATTTTTAGAGACTAGCCCTTGTCATTAATGAGATAAGTTGAACTATCCACTAGATATTACATTAGAATTTCTGACACCATAAGAGAAGGAAATAACTATTAAAGCAATACTCATTTACAAAGAGGAATGATTGAGAAAAATTAATTTGGCAAGTTAAAGTTTCCCAAAAAAGACTAAGACATGACTCTCTGTAAATCAAGCATACTCTTCCAAATCCTGAAATTTACTATAATTTTATTTTAAATTAGACTTCTATTGATTGCATATGCCAAAATATGGATATTTATTGTGAAAATAAATTGTTCAGTGTCTAATTTATTTAATGTTTGTAGTTAGCTTGAATAGGAAAATCCACATCAGTCCATCTAAACTCTAGCTTCTACTAAGATTTTTGTTCAAACTTAAGAAAAACTGTCAACAATCTCTGGTTGTCTGTTTCTGTCTTTCTCCCTTTGCAAGTCAATCATCACCTCTCCTATTACAGACTATTAGCATATTGAGCTATCACTACCCCCCCCTTCAAACACATTTTACATACCCTGTCCTCTTTTTTGTCATGATGTCAGACAACCCAAGAGGGAAATGTTGTTTTCTCTGGGATACTACTACTACAAACACCACCACTACCACCACCACTAATAATAATAATAATAATAATAATAATAATAATCACTGAATTGCAAAAGAAGGTAAGCCACTTGCTCAAATCAGACAGATTAAAGGAGGAAAATAATGATAGTAACTGAGTCTTTCTGACTGCACAGTTTTCCAAATCCATAGAGATCTCTGGCTTCAAACTTAGTTTGTAGCTGAAGATGACCTTGAACTTCTGATCCCTGGCTCCACCTCTGGAATGCTGGAATTAAAAGTGTGTGTCACGTCACCATACTTAGTCCAGGCAGTGCTAGGAATAGACTCCAGAGTTTCAGGAATGCTAAGCAAGCACTCTACTGAACCACACCCTTCAGCCTTCAACTCTACAAACCTTCAGGACTGTTGGTGTTTTATACTGTCTATATAAACTCTAATATGTCTGAAATTAAAGGTACCTGTTTGGCAGAACAAGATGATTGTTATGGAAATGTAAGCTTGATTTTTTTTAGACAAACATTTCCTTGTGAAAACTACATGAGTCATGAAAAACCGATCCTTGAGTAAACCTAGAATCCAGCTATTCTAGGCATTTTTTTTTAAACCTTTGCTCAAATTGGGGCACAGAAACCACTGCCTTCATCAAATGCTTAGAGACTCCAACTTCTACAGAATGTGGGTCTCTATATCTGATTACCTCAACAAACACTTGTTTCAAAACAGTTACTTTGTTACATAAGAAAAATCAAATTTATTTTTGAGCTATTTATCCACCGTATCTGAACATTATCTGTGCACAGGGAGACTTCATAAAACTCCTAAAGAAATGGAGACACGGTGGTTAGCTCGTCCCAGTATAGAAGCTTGCATTAAAAAGAGCACACAAACCAAACTGTTTCATAATTGAAGAATAACCCTGAGAAAATGAAAATTTAATATTCTTCTGCTACTACATTCTATTTCTGAGTGGATGTGACCTGGAGGACACGTTTTCTAGTGAATTTGAATAAATTAGAATAAATAATGTTTCTTAAGTAAGTAACTTCATATTTTCATAGAATGGAAGCTTTTGGAGTCACTATACTTAGCTTATGGAATTTAATTACTGAAACCTTAACACTGTATTGAATTTGTTATATGATCAAAAGAAATTTCTTGTGAGAAAAACTATTAAATTCCTGATAAAGAATCATGGAATGAGTTTTAATATGGGTTAAATTGCTTACAAATTTGAGCCTTAGACAATTATTTCATATTCAATTATTAATATTGTAAATAAAATATTACAGTTTAAAATATACTTGTTCACAAATAAGTATATGACAACAATTTTTATAGTTTAACAAATTGCTAACATTTGTTAGCTATTCACTGATGACTTCTTGAGAATAGACTATTAGAGTATTTCTTTGTAAAAGTATCATCATGGAAAGTAATCATGCTAAATATCTTAGATACCGTAAATATTTGGGTTATGATTACTTTAGTTTTCATAAGAAGACTATATAAAGTATAGTTTTATATATATATGTATATACATATATATGTAGACTTTATAATGCTCTAGCTACAATATCAATACAAATAGATCTCTTTTATTTACAAATGAAAACCATCAACTATGTGTTTGGACAAATTAGGCATTTGCATAAAATAAAACTTTTAAACATCAGCTCCTAAAATTGGAATCGATATGAATTAATAAGACTGTATAATCCAGATTTATTTATTTATCATTATCATACTTTTATAAAAAGATGATGTTTATAGAAGCTAGTATGTGAATAATTTTCTTAATGTAAAGTGAGTCCTAGAACTGTACTGCCATGTACACATACATATCATATGTTATTGGTGTGTTTTGTTCTTTAGCCTAAAGTACTCATTTTGCTTGTGAAGCCATGGTTCACAGATGACTTCCTGCAAGGTCTAATGTCACAGCTGACCCTTAAGACAAAGGAAACACCTACTTGGAGAAGGGCACTAAAGGTCAGTGCAGGAATATAAATGGAGGCTCAGACATGGAAAAGCAATGGTATGTGTGTCATAGATATCGGGAAGTGGAAACCACATGCTGTTCAATGCGGATGTGCTGAGAGCCCTGGGGTGGAGACCAAGAGAAGAGTAGTCACGGACCTAAAGTCATGCATACAACTTGCACTTTCGGACACAGGAAGAATTTCAAGCAGATATTTTTTGTGTACCTACTACAGTGGCTTGTTCACAGGTGCTTCCAATAGTGGAAGAGGTTTTCTCCCCAGCTGTAATCAATGTCATTTAACATGTGGTATTTAGTGTTTAACAAACCAGAGAGTAGATGTACATCTCTGGGAGGATCATGTCTGTACTGCTGGATGTTAAGGAGGAGGACAAGAAGAGAGAAAGAAGAAAGAGAAAATAGAGGAAAAGGAGGAAAAAAGAGGAGACAAAAGAGAAGAAAGAGGTAGGTGAAGGTGGATGAAGAGGAGAAGAAATGAACAAAGGTAGAAAGGATGAAAGAGAAGGAAAAACTGGTAGAGCAGGAGGAGGAAGAAGGAGGAGGAAGAGGAGGAGGAGGATGAGGAGGGGTGGGAGGAGAAGCAGGAGACTGAAATTTCGAAAGCATTGGAAAGAGATTTTCTGGATCACAGCACTGTGCTATGCAAAAAGCAACACAGGAACTCTCACCTGGGCAGGTATACTTCCACCTTTTGTTTCTTAACAGAGTTTGCCCATTCTTCAATCAGCTGTGCTTTGAGCAGAGGCTCCAGTGTGGCCAGGGGAACTTCCTGTCTGGACAGTACCAGCATCATGCTGATCTCCTCTCCCTCGTAAGGTATTTCTAGGACTTGGTAGATGCCACCAGCCTCATTGGATCCATCACTAAATTCCCCTAGAAACAAAATAAAAGCTTTAGAGTTCATATCAAAGCTTTCAGAAACGATTTCAGCTTTTTATGTCTTCACTTGAAAAGGATGTTGGGATCTGAAGAAACGTTCAGTAGTTAAGACTCTTGCAGAGGGTTTAGGCTCAGTTCCCAACACCCACACAGTGGCTCACAACTATATGTGACGTTGTGTCCAGGAGATCTAAATGCTCTCTTCTGGCTGCCTCCTGGATCAACACACATGTGGTATACATACATACATGCATGCAAGAAAGACACACAACATATAAAATAAATCTTTTTTAAGTGATAATATTTAGAAGATAAGAAATTCAGGCATCTAAAGCAAAATGATTTATTTGAAAGAGTCCTTGAAAGTAAATGAATCACCACTTCCAAAGATGTATTTATTTTTGAATTCCCAGAATTATCTCACATTTTTTATGTTCCCTACTCTTTTTTATTTTTAAATAGGATAATTCAATTTAACATAGTGAAAACTATTATTCTAAAATGAAATCCCTGGCTTCAAGTTGAGTATAACAACTTGTATATTTACCAGTATTCTCTTGATTTTTAAGAAGACAACTTTTAATTCTGGGTACTCTGTTTTCACCACAATTACAAGATACAAGGTCAATGCTGCCAGCTAAAATAAAATCTATGCATTATATACTGTATATCACATGTATTTATGATAATAAAGCTCTCAAGGCCAGTAATTAGGTAAGTAAGATAATTTATTTTGTCATCCATAAATTTTGCAGAATTTCTTACTCATGTGTGCATACACACATGCAGAGAGAGAAAGAGAGAGAGGGAGAGAGAGAGAGAATCTTTAGAATACATCCTCTTGTCATTACTTTAAATGTAATTACTTTTCTACCATCAAAACTAAGAAGAATATTTCTGTTATTAATATTTTCCTAAGTATATTAGAAATGGCTCTAGATAAAACTTTTAGTTCTAACATACATTCTTTATACAATTACATTTCTGCTAATGATTTAACTAATTACTATAATTCAAGAGGAAACAATACCTTAAACTTCTGAAGAGTCCAAAGAAACTCAATGAAAATAATGTCAAAGACACTGAATTTCATCATAAAGTACAGTTTTCTCAGCCATACAAGCACAAATCTGAGACTAAAAGTGTTTTAAATTTTATTTAAAAAACTTTTTACATTTATGTATGTGGACCTGTGTATATGTAAGTGCACTTCATGTATGTGGGTGCCCAGAGAAGCCAGAAGACGGTGTCAAATCCCTGGGAAGTGAAGTCAAAAAATGTCGGTGCTGGGGGTTGAACCCAATTCTTCCACAAAAACAGCAAGGGATTTTAACTGATGAACTATTCCTCTGGCCCCTGATATTTAAATTTTAAAGAAAAAATTTACAAGGGCTGGAAAGATGTTTAGGAGGGGAAAGGCAATGACCTTATTGTGGTCCCCAGAACACGTAGGGTAAAAGAGAACTAACACAGTCCAGTTGTCCGTAGACTTCTACACATGAACTATGGTATACAGCCTTAGAAACAAAAGGAAAAAAAACAAATAAACGAAAGGGAAGAAAAAGAAATCTATAAAATAAGGCTATTTAAGAAAGATGACAGGGTATGTAAACTGTGTTTGAGGACACAGTGATAGGTCGATACGCTAATCGTCGGCAATAAGAGGAGAGGTGATGATTGGACAGTATTTTCAGTGACTTGCAAGAGAAAAAAAGACAGGAACAGAAAATCCTGCTTTCAGAATAAACATAGTCTTCCAAATACTGAAATTCACTTTATTTTTAAATTAAACTTCTATTGATTGTTTAATACCAAAATATGAAGAGTTATTTGTGCTGGGCATTCAAACCCAGGTCCCCATGTTTACATAGCAAATGCTTGGCCCAGGAAGCAATCTTGCTGACCCAGGATCAGATAGTTTTAGATGAATAAAGCCACTTGGCAGGTGTAATTAATTACATGCATATCGGAAAACTGTTAATACCTATACTCATCAGTCATGATCTAATGACAAGCCTTCAGAAATGCAGGCCAGCAAATTGAACTACAGCCCAAATTATATGCACAAGAAATTGGAGCAATAAATATTTCATACTTTTTAAAAGATTTGTTGATATACTATAAGAATTAAAAAAACATAAAAAAATTCCTTACCATAATAAAATTCCCCTTGTTGATACATCATTGGAATCTGCACTTCACTTTCATCGTCTTTAGTGAAGGAAAAAGTTCTGGTATTTTCAGGTCTAAACTGGGATTTCCAGTTCCCTTTGAAGTACACAGCGTTGATGAGGGCCAGATGAGTGACAGCATCAAAATCCCCGGGCGACACCAAATCCTTCAACAGACCTGTTCAGGTGAAGCAGATGAGAATTCACTTTAAATTAAAAAGTGGAAAGGCAAAGCAAAGAACTTCGACACCACCTGACAGAGTGCTCCCTAAAGATGCAAGATGTGTGTATAACAGAAGTAGAGCATATTACATTTAAAGGAAGAATGCCACCATACACACATAGTTACAACATTAACAAATCGAGTGGCTGCTATTTTAAGAGTGCCAACAATAATTTGAAAGCTAGCGTATTTTAATAATACAATATATTTGAGTAGATAATTATTTTTTTTGAATCCTTAATAATGATAAAATGTCTCTGTTATATCACAAATAATCTCATAATCTAAATAAGACCAAATTTATTTAATACTTTCTCATTTTGTCAACCATATCATTTATTAAGCACTATCTCAAGGTTTTATGAATTGTAGGGTTTAGGGTGTCTGATGGTGTTTTTTGTTCTAACATAAGATTTTACAATACAAACATTTGAAAATTTATGACACTAATATTCCATGTAATAAAGAACTATACTAATCTACTTAAAATATTAATTTATTTTTAATTCATTTGTTTTGATGTTTTAGTACATCATGTATATTGTTTATTGCACAAATTATCCACATATTCTCCTACATTAATTTTCTCCCCCTTTTCTTCCATTAAACTGCTTTTAATTTAGTCTCAATTTTTAGATTATTATTTCAGTCATCTTCCTGGCTAATTGAAAAATAAATGATGCAATTTTTACCACCTAGAGGTGTTAAATACATCTAAAATATGAATTATTGGGGCTGAAGAGATATCTCAGCAGTTAAGAGCACTTGCTGCTCTTACAGACGACATAGGATTGGTTCTCAGTACCCACAGGCTCACACACCGACCTGTAACTCCAGTTCCAGGAGATCTGAAGCCCTTTTCTGGCTTCCATGGATATGCAACTAGTTCACATATATACACTGAGGTTTACATATAAACACATAAAATAAAAATAAATTTTACAGCAACAAACATGAATTAGAAATAAAATAGAATGTGTATGCAGCTGGTTTGTAATTCCTCTCTACTAACTTGAGCTACAGTGGACCACTCTTTCTAGAATGAATATTTTTCCCTTCTTAAAATTACCTATTAATTATTGTGGTTGTAAAACCATGAAACAAATCTTCAAACTTTAATTTTTATTTCTTATTCTATTTTATTATTTAATTTTTTGTTTTGTTTCTGTTTTTCTGAGACAGGATTTCTCTGTGTAGCTTTGGTGCCTAATTTGGAACTCTCCCTGTAACCAGTCTGGCCTCGATTTCACAGAGATCTGCCTGACTCTGCCTCCCAAATGCTGGGATTAAAGGCCTGTGCTACCACCACCCAGCCTGTGGTAATCTTACAATGAAACTATCACCAACTACCATTCTGCCTAACTAATTTATCAAATTTTGAAAACAAATTCCACACAGTATCTACACAAGGGGGTTCCATCTATTGGGGAGCATTTATGGCAGAATATCAGAGCCAATATTCTACTCACAGCCGTGTATTTAACTTATTTAATAAAAGTGAGGGTACGCCTACATCCCAGAGTAAAAGATGTTAACTACTGAGTTAAGCAGTGAAAAGAAAGGACGTACTGTTTGTGTAATTCTCCACCCACTTATTGATGTAGTTGGCCACAGCGACATTTTGGCTGAAATCCACATGATTGACTTCCGCATTCAAGTACTTTTTCATCATTTGCAAGAACTCATCATTGATATGAAACCCATTTTGCACAAAGAGGGAATTGGCAATTTTCATCACATATTGGCTCTCTTCAGCAGATACCATATCAGAGAAATCTTTTAAGAGAGAAAATTCTTCACCTGCAAGATGACAAATGACAAGTTTATCAATGAAACAGACATGGTGAAAGACTATACCAGAGAAGGACATTAGGAGAACCGAGCCAGTGAAAAGTAGCAGGCTCAGTCCTCATAGAGAGATGGCAAGGAGCTTCAAGTGCTAGTTCTAAGTGCTCAAATTAGCCTTGTCCAGGTCACCAAGAGTTGCTCTTTGTTTTTGTTTGTTTGTTTTGTTTTGTTTTTAATTTGTTAGTTTTTGAGAGTCAGAGATCAAGCCTGGGACCTTACACATGCTAGGGAGGTTGAACTGCAGCCTTGCATTGTGACGTGGATAAAGTCTACAAAAGAAACAAATGTAAGTGGTTTTCTTTCAAAATACCTGGATTGGTTGCATTCAAATAATCTTTTTTCAGGTTGTCAAGCAAAAATTAGTTATCTAGAAGATATTCCTTTAAACTTTTCTCTCACCTGATGATTTAAATATCATTGGTAGAAAATCCATTGCTTTCTTTTTAAACTTTCTGATGAATTTGTTCATGTGCACACTAGATAGAAGTGTTAAAACAGAAATCACACCCATTTCCAAATTTTTCCCTAGTTGATATAATTTTATAATAATACATTTCAAATACCTGGATATTATTTAAGCAATAAAAATATCATTGGTTATAAAGAAAAATTTGATATTCTTCTAAAATCATGATGCCTTTCTTTTTATAATCTATCACAGCTACCTTTTCATTTATTTCTATGATAATTTACACTGGAAATTATAGAATCACTTTTTTTACTATGCAAAAACTATGCAAGCTTATTTAAATAATACCTTTGAGAAGACGCATTTTCCTTGGATTTGCTCAGCTATGACCAGAGACAGGAATGAACCCCTTTTTATAAATTATAACTCTTCTAACCATTTTATTGCAATAAGACTATTCCTTACCTCTTGTAAATATTGCCTCCTCTGGCAGAAGGCAATGTGATTAAATTAAAAGTTAAACCCGAATAATTATGAGAGATAAAACCCAGGAACTTACCATTTTTCAGGCCATCATATCCCATTGCATGACGGATTTCTTTCAGTGTAGAGCCTTGAGCCCCAAGTTCCATCACTCCCATTGCAAGGGCAATGCTCAGAGGGGAAAAGAGGATGTTTTCATCTTCGCCAGTGGCTCGAAGATGATTGTACATATTCACTGACCACTCTGCCATGGGCTCATCTGGGAAAGCCGCCCCTATCACCACATATTGCATGGCCAGCAAAGAGAATAGCCCAAAATAAGCCATCCTGGAATGGTTTCACGTCTGTAAAACAGTAATATATATAAACGATTATCTCTGATATACAAGTTAATGGAAGAAAAACAAAGAATTAGTACTTGGTAGAATTATAAGATAAACTTTTTTTATAAGTTGAAGATTTAAAAACAGTTCAATATTAATTTATCTGTTAAAAAATCACATTAAAGACTTAATAATAAGTTTTCTCTCCTGTCCCACCCGTGTGTATGTGTGTGTGTGTGTGTGTGTGCGCACGTGCCTTGAATGGAAGACATACATGCTAAGTACATACTCTAAAACTGGGTTAAACACTATCAATCATAGTTTGCTTTCTGTTGTTGTGATAAAGCACTCACTAAAGTCAATTTGGGTAGGATAGGGTCTATTTGTCTTTCAGGCATCTTTCTTATACAACTCGGGCTCAGCTGCCTAATGAAGGTATTGACCACAGTGGACTAGGAACTCCTGCATCAATGAGAAATCAAGAACACAGCAGACAGACATGCCTACAGGTGAATCTGATAGAAACAATTCTTCAACTAAGTTCCTTCTTTTCACGTATGTCTAGCTGACAATCAAGATTAACTATCACATGCCACAGTCCTCAGACTTCTACTTTTAAAAACAATCAATCAAGAGTCAGTTGAAAAGAAAAGATAGCTAAGTTGTGATGATTCTACAAGGAGCAGGATGCACGTGGTCATAACATTCATGACATTAAGGTATATATGGTGTCCTGGCTCGTTTTATGCCAACTGGACACATGTTAGAGTCATCTGAAAGAAGGAAAGCACAATTCCAAATTAAAAATCGAGAATATGCCTCCATAACATCCACCTCTAAGAAATTTCTTAATTAGTAATTGATGGGGCATGGTCTAGCCCATGGAGGATGGTGCTTTCCCTGGTTTGGTGGTCCTAGGTTCTAGAACAAAGCAGGTTGAGCAAGCCATGATGCGTCTCAGCTCCTGCCTCCACGTTCCTGCCCTATTTGAGTTCTTGTCCTGATATGCTTCTACGATAAGTAGTGATGTAAAAGTGTAGCCAAATAAACTGCTTCCTCCTCCAGTTTTTTTAGTCATGGTGTTTCATCATAGTATCAGTAATCCTAACTAAGGCAGAAATTGGTGTTAGGATAGTCAGGTCCTGCTGTGCAGACCTGGCCATGTTTTGGGGAGGACTGTGGAAAGATTTTGGAACTTTGGTCAAGAAATGCCATTGAGTGTTCAAAGCTTGTCAAGTTGCCTGGAAGAAATCAGACACTATAAGCAGGACTTAATGGTTCAAGAAGAGAGTGTGGAAGGTAATTTGAACTATGGGGGCCAAGATCAGGAAGTTTCAGAGGGGAGAATTTTAGTAAGTGGCCTATAAGTCATTCCTGTGGTATTTTGACAAGGAATATAGCTACTTTTTGCCCCTGTCTTAAAAGTCTGCCTGAGAATAAATGAAAGAGTTTTTGATTCATGGCAGTGGTGGTGGATATTTGAAGACAGCCTAAAATGGACTCTGACGTGATTTTTAGTAATCATTCTCATGGGACTATATGGTTTAAAAGGAGTAAACCAGGCAAAGAGATATTCAAAATGTACAGTTTGAAGTGAAAAGAAGCACCAGGAAGTGTAATGGAGTTAAAGCCAGTGCTCAAGGAGATAAAAAGTTTAAAGACAAGCCTGATGCTAAATGGAATGAAGGAATGGTAGTACCTCAGGGCAATAAACCACCAAGCTAAATTTCCTTTCCTTCAGGGGTTAGACTTAAGACATTTTCTTGAGTCTGAAAAAAGATTTGGTATACCTGAACACAAGGAACTGAAATTTCCTCCCTTCCCTCTTTCTGTTAGTTATTCATCTTTAGTTATTTCCACTCCGAACTTTAGAAGAAGCTAGAGCTAACGGGCCAAACTGATTTAATTAATACAGTTTCTATGTGATTATTTCGGTTCTGGGCGACCAGAACAAACAAGCAGCCTGCTACTACAGGCCACCAGCTAAGGAATAGTACCAACAACAAAAGACTGAGCTCTACCCCATCAATAACTAATTCATTAAGAAAATATCTTACAACTGGATCTTGCAGAGGCTTTTCTTAATTGAGGCCACCACCTTTCAGATAAGTCTAGCTTGTGTCAAATTGGCACAAGACTGCCCAGGGCTGTAAATATGAGGACTGGAAAATAGCTTAGTCAGTGTTTTTCCCATAAGTGTGAGAGCCTGCTTCTGAGTTCTATAGTCCACCTAAAAAAGCTGTTTGTCCGCTTCCTGTTACCCATTGCTTGTGAGTACATCTGTATTTAATGTTGTTACCACTGCTACCTTCACTAACATTGAACTCCTGTTTCTTTGGGTTTTTCAGTGTGAACAGTGGCTCTTCGGGAATTCTCTAGGCCTTCTGTGCTGGATTATTACTCACAGAGCATTCACTCCTGGACTGAGCAGCTACTGAGTTCTCAGTTTCTCCAGGGTACAGATAACCATTGTTGAATTATCCAGACTGTAGTGTTTAAGCCAATCTAATATTTTATTCTTTTAATATATTATTACAGAGAGAGAGAGAGAGAGAGAGAGAGAGAGAGAGAGAGAGAGAGGCACAAATGTTTTCTAAAGTTCTTGTTTGCCCATAATGTGCGATCTGTAGTCTGAGGAAAGACATGGTTCTCTCTCTCTCTCTCTCTCTCTCTCTCTCTCTCTCTCTCTCTCTCTCTCATAACTTCCCATTAAGTGACTATGGGCATCTGGAATCACACTGTTTATTCAAACAATTTAGTAATTTATTTGTTCTTGATGATTTTTTAAATCTACCATTAAAACACCACATAGAGTAATGTTGAACAAACACATTAGGAAAAATGTATTTTAATTAGAGTTGATAGACTCACTTAATCAACTAACAGTGTACACAGGAATCTGACTGGAGTACACTTCCAACAGACTTTCATCCAGAAGACTCCACTGTTCTGCGTTGTGATTCTGGTTTCAGAGAACTCTTGGGTCACTTTCTATAAGCCCTTCACATTTTAGAGTTAGATAAATGTTTTTCTTTTTGTCTGAAGAGTCTCAAGGTTCTCTGCACAACACTCATCTCCTTGCTTTTGTTTTAAGGTTTGGGGGCACATTTAGGAAGGCAGACTCAATAAGGTACCTCACAGCCTATGTTTTAAATGCTAGGGATACTGGGGGCAAGCAACTGCATCAGGAGATGCCCTGTGATTTAGACTTCACTGAGGTAGAGCCAGCTGAAGAGAACAGCTTGAGGAGTTTGGGTCTCTCTTCCACTATGAGTACTGGGCATAGAACTGAGGTCATCAGGCTTCAGAGTAAGTACCTTATTCTGTTGACATCTCATGCTTCCCCAAAGCCCATGTTCTTCATCAGTACATTCAACACTTGACAGGATATCTCAACTTCTTTACAGGGAAGGCCTGAACCTGGGCCTCATGACTTTCCTTGAAGATTGCATACTATGTGGCTGGGGGGATGGCTCAGTGGTTAAGAGCTCCTGCTGCTCCTTCCTCGAACCCAAGTTTATGACAATCATCTCATGATGACTTCTAACTCCAATTCCAGGACATCTAACACACCATTCTGGCCTCTGCAAGCACTGGACATATGTCACATGCGTGTTCACGCACACACATGCACACACGCACACACACACATTCCTGCATAAAACAAAAAAATGAAAATTAAATCTTAGCAAAAGGTTTGATGAGATGGCTCAGTGGGTAAAGGCACATGCCAACAAATCTGAAGTCCTAAGTTCTATCGCTTGGACCCACAGAGTGGAGAGAAAGAACTGACCTGTGAAAGTTGTTCTCTGACATCCATTATCATATTATGGGACATGAACTAATTCCAAAATTAAATGAATGTAACGACTCAAAAAATTTAAAGTCTACATAGTATAAAACGATAGTTGTACCTGCCAATCAATAATGCAGGTCTTTAAAAGACATTGGGATTAACACAAATATCAAATTTCAAGATAGCAAAAACGTATTCATATGAAATGAAACTGTATTATCAGTATAGTCCAGAAAATGATACTAAGTCTATTAAAATGTTTTCATAGGAATTTTAATTTATAACTGAGTGTCTCATGAGATAATAGCAGCTTGCAATTTTGCTAATTTTGCTGCTGCCCTTTAAGCAGTACTCCCACTTTATAAATGGAAGCAATGTAATCTGAGATTCTATAAACTTTCCCATTATCCTAGGAGCTCTGGAGTCAGAACTGGGGCTCAAGTCATCCTACCTGGTCTGGTCTATTGATGCAATGCTCCTCCAGGCTTTGGAAAAACAGAAAGATATAAGTTTTGGGGGATAGGATTTGGTGTATACTCAATAATCCCAGCAAATCAGATGCATTTTCTCAGTCTTAGTGACCACATCTGTGAATGAAAATGCAAACCCTTTGCTACAAAATTATTAAAGAAATAAGGGGAAAATTCCTGTGAAGTACTCATTTTAACACACAAGTTACAATAATGGGACATTACTATGAAGAAAAAAAAAAAATGTTTCCATGTTCCCGTCTGTTAAAGCAGAAGCTGGAGACTGAAAAGAAGGACTTAGCATTCCCCCTGGCCCAATGAACTAACATTTTTGTACATTCATTCAACCAAGAGCAGAGAAGCTTGTAAAGACATAAAAATATTTAACTACAGGCTCTCATCGTTAGGAAACCACTCACATGGTGTGAGAATGCATCCTATAATGTGATCTTACCTCTTAGATAAAATTGATCCTCTAAAAGTCACCATCAGAAAAAGGTGTCACACTGATGAGAGCAGATATTCCTTGTGCAGGGTAATCAGGGACCTCGGATCCTTTGCAGCAGATAGCTCGGATAAAGAATCTGTGTTTGGCATCCTGCATTTTGCAAGTCACCTGTCTTCAGGAGAATTTCAAAACCATTCATCTATCTTCCAATAACCAAAGGACTTTGGTAATAATTACCCGGTATGTTTGTGGAAGAGGTTTCTGGCAAGGCTGTGAGCAGCCAGCTAAGGACAGCAAATTACACTAG